TGCTGGAGAATGCTCCTGGCCACCAACTTAATTTCAGCAACAGAGCACATCTAATAAAATACAATATAATCAAATCTCAGTCCACTAACATTGACACTAACTTTCCAAGAGCATATTTTTGAATTTATAGACTGACAAATTATGTATGTGGCAAATTTACTGTTGATAGTGTCCCCTCATCAGAAAAAAAAAAAAAGTCTAACACTTTTAACAAGATTTGAACTGTTTGTGACAAACTGTTAATGCATTATGTTGAATTTTGAATACTTATAACAGCTAAAAATCTTCAATTGCACAGAAACTGCTTTTTTAATGCCTATAGTCCTTTAAGAGGCTAGAAAAACAGTTTTTCTCGGATGGTTATGTGATTACACCAATTACAAAGTTAACTAAAAAAACCCAAAAAAACCAACTGTGGTAACATAATAACCCAAAGGGATCCAGAAGGAAAACTACCCTCGAACCAGCCAGCAAGGACAGGATTTCCATGACACACATCTAGCAGCCGTTAGGAACATAGTATCCAACAAGTACCCACTGCATACCTGCGGGCCAAGAGGGAAGCAGCACCCACCTATTAATCTGATAGGTGCAGGGAAAGCTGCGGGCCAAGCAGCAGAGAAGAGGGCTGCACAGTACTATTCGCTCAACTACTGAAACTGCAGAAGCCTCCTTAAAAAGACAATGGAGAAATATCAGAAACAAATCTTTCAGGCCCTTTTCACACTACATGTTTCAGTGTGATATATTTTCAGCTTTTAGAAAACTATTGATATTAATGAAGATTTTAACTTTTTTTAAGGTGTCCCTTTTAAAAGGGGAAAATTAAACATGACAAAAATGGAGGCTTATTTCATGTCTATTGTGTTGTAAAAAAAAGTAAGGGTGCTGAAAATGTAAACATGCTTAGCAAAATAAAATGAGAGTGTCTAATCAAACACAATCCTCATTTTCATAAACAGAGCAGTTCAATTTATCAAACGAAGTAATAAATACATATCTCATACTGAGATGGGCTTCAGATCAGTGGAAATACCAGCACAGGAACATACTGTGGGACTTCTTTCCTAGTGTTTACGAGGTCTGTACATTTAGATAATAAACACATCCAATTCTCAGTATTCCTATTTCCTTGTTTTACTTCAATCATATTGTCGGTGATTTTTTTGAAGACAAATGGTAAACAGCACAATCATTTCAAGAGCAATTCTCTGAACTTCACAGCTGAGTTTTATATACTTTCATTTAAAGACCTGCAAAGCACAGAGTGATGCAGTAACACTGACAATCCATTTGCTCCTAAATCCAGCGTGTAAAGCAAAGTTTAGGCTAAGTACAAAGACCTCCAAGGGCAAATACATTTCACATAAAGTCAAATAAAATTCAAATAAAGCAGAAATTTGAACTCCACTATAAATGTGACTAAGCACACTCAAAAATGTATAGTCAAGCTCAGGTTCAGGACTAATAAGCTGTTTTTCATATTAAAAGGAAACTAAGATCTGGCAATTTCTTTTGGGCTGCTCTGTCAGCATCCTGTAAAATACATTTGATAGCCGGACAGCATGACACAGATGAATTTTAAATTATAGTTCATTCTAGAGGCCTAGTTTATGAGAAAACTGGAAAAAATACCTAAGTACATTGGCTTTGGCCATGGAACGACAATGAACAAAAAAGTTAATTATTTCAAAGATTTCTTCTGGACAAGAAGCATCTTTGCATTGTCTCACCTAAGCAGGAAGAGCAACACTACAAGTGAAAGGAAACCAAGATGATTGAAAAAAAGGAGAAGCAAAAAAACATTTATGAGTATGTTTGTTTGGATTTTCAACTTAATACTTCCCTATAAAGACACTTCAATATAAACACAGATGAAGAAATAAAAATGTATCTATGTTTTACTATTTTCTCCTACAGCAAGTAGGTTCATTCTAATCCAAGAAATCCAAGACACCTAAATAGTACAGAGCTCCTGCGAGCTGAATTCCAACATGAAAAATTCAAGAAATCTATCAGTTGTTCAGGAAGACCTGATCTCATGGGATTTACTTAAAACTGCTTTATTGATTCTGCTGACAGATTCTGTGTTAAGGTGCTAAGCAGAAAGAGGCAGGAACAGCTTTTGCCATTTAACTTACCTTTAGATGACAGCCTAATCAGAACTAGACTGAAACACATGATAATACATGGTAAGTAGCACCTACTAAATAACTATTGTGATTTACAGCTGCTTTCAACCATTGCTTGCATTACTTCTACTTCCCAAAGAGCAAGCACTTCACTGCTTTTCCTGCCATTTATATACCAACTGAAGGCCTACGTGTCAATCTTGCAAACTGCAATGCTATAAGGTGTGCAAGCAGAGTGAAATATACTTCAGTAGTTGCAAAATTTAAACTCCATTTTCACATGATTCCAATGCATGCAATTAATAACATCAATAAACTATGTTAACTAGAAACTGAATGTACCATTCCATTGAGTATTACAAATTTGATGAGTACTGCAATTCCTTTTGCAAAGTAAAAGGTGGCTGGCACTGACAGTTTCAATTTAAAAATATTTATCATTTTCAACATAAATACATTTTTAAAAAGTAATTTTTTTTCACCCAGTGCAGTTTTTCTCTTGCACTTTCATTTCATTCTTTCAGGAGACTTTAGTGCTCTGCTACAAAAGAAAACTCTAAAGCAATACAAAGCTGCATTCTGAGGTTCACTTATAGGCTGCTTTCTTTTACACATTAGAGTCCATGGTCAGCCCTCTCCCACTATAAACAACAGACAGATAACTCACTGTGGTCAGTTCAAGTCCTGTCAATGCCTTCCAACTGAAAAAACCTGTCCACTCCAAGATCACTGAATCACAGAATACGCTGAGCTAGAACAGATCTGTCAGGGTAAGAGTCCAGCTCCTGGCCCTATGCAGGACACTCCAAGAGTCACACCATGTGCCTAAAATCATTGTCCAAACATTTCTGGAACTCAGACAGGCTTGGTGCTGTGACCACCTCTCTGAAGAGCCTGTTCCAGGGCTCAACCACCCTCTGGGTGAAGAATTTTTTCCTATCTAACCTAAATCTCCCCTGACTCAGCGGCATGCCATTCCCTCAGGTGCTGTCACTGGAGACTGAAGAGTTTGTACAAAATTTGTACAAAAACCCCAGATTTAGCAGCTAGCAAACCCTGCCAAGGAAGTTATTTCTTCCACAAGGGTGAAATGGGACTGCCAGTTAAGGCTGGTAGTACACGACTCTGCCTCTTACCTCAAAAAGGAAAGTACACCTAACCAGGAGAGCCTTCTGTCACCAAGAAAAATGAGTGAGTTGACATAGTAGCTTACAATACGTGAACAGAGAAAAGGTTTTACCTAAGTGCTACAACAGCTCCACAATGATAACTTAAGTAATACACATTTCAGAAATTAAAAAAATGCTGTTTGATGAACTCAAACTTGTAGTAGAGACGTTTGATCCGTACAGTGATGTACTGCGATTTCAGCACAGAAAAAATAAAACTCAAATGGTACTTCAGAGCTACCACAATAGGGAGCAATGCTCTGCCACATTAGTTTCGTCCAACAACAACCACGAGAATTCTCTGTAAAGAAGCACAAAGCTGTCAACTTCAGATTCACCCCATCTGTTACCACATGTTGCTTCCTAATATCAACAGAAGGTTTTGAAATAGAGTTTATTGATGACAAATGTAAAAGTCAAGATTTTCCAGTCTCAGTCATGAATCTCTTAAAATGTGACATAAGCTACCTCTGCCATAACCAAAATCCATTAACAGCTAGCAGACAAGATAAAAAGCTGAATTGCTACTTTGGAGATTAGAATGAGCTTTTGCAAAACTAACTGTGAGTTTTCCTACAGATCTACACATCAGAAGTATACCTGCAGTATTAAATTCATTTTTTATCGTATGTAAGGCACTATTAGCACTAGAAATATTGCAGAAAGTTCACTTACAGATTAAACATTTTAAAAGGTGTATATACCTTTAGGTAAGTCAGTTCAAGGCAAAATAGAAACCATCTACACTCCATGTTCTTCCACCACAGTCTTTACTAATGAAACTAAATGATGGCTAGCAGAAGAGACTTTTCAAATTCACATAAGAGCATTATTAATAATTACTGAGAGAGAAAAAACACTACAATAATAACCTGCTATATCAAACCTAAGCAGTGGCTGCTACATTTATGAATAAAAATTCTCAAATTTTCCCACTGTAAAAGACTACTAAATTTAAACTAAAATGTACTTTAAGATGACTGGGCCGATTAATTGACAGAACAAATAACTATGGAATTCTTACAGCACAATAACCTTCTGAGGCTTTACTAGTATGTTTCCACCTAAATTACCTAAAACCCCTGCATCAATGACGATTTTGGCATTGTTAACAAGCCAATACTTACAAAATGACCCTCTCATGGTGTAACTAAGCTTTAAGAATTGTCTTAGAACAGCTGTCTGAAACCAAGGTTAGAATTTACTATTTTCAGGATTTAATATTTTTTACTAAATTCTTGCAATTAAGTGCAACTGCACTAGAGGTTAAGTATTCCTCCTTCTTTCTATAATGAAGAGCAAAAGCCTTACTTCCTGCTGTCAGAGTCCTTCCTTTCACCTGCAGCAGACACACTCTGAGAATCTGCTAACCTGCAAACTTTGCTTCACTAAGCACAACTGAGTTAACTTTCTGATGTCTCTTACTTAAGATTTACATATATTGTTATACCCAGCTGCAGAACAACAACAAAAATTTATTACTGGTTTACCTGGTATTACTTTGTGAAGCTTATGATTATACTCTTTTCCAACATCTTGTATTAGAAATAAAAACTTTCTTGATTGAAAAATAAATTCCAATGAGTTTATAAAAAATTCTCTACTTTTGAAACAAAGCTTTTCATTACTCCATAAATTCTGTTTTAGATTTGTGCAACAGTGTAAGTCCACATAAATATAAGCTTTAAGACACTATTACCATCTTTCTTTAGGAAAGTTCTTTATAATTTCACTAATAATTGGCTGGTAGCAGGAATCCCTCTCAGACTTTCCCTCCTCACTCCAGTCTCTCACAAATTGTTTCAACGTGGACTTTAATTTATCCATGTCAAATGTTGAAGCTGGTGTAATCTTCCCACTTCCCTGAAAGTGGAGAGAAAATAAAAAAGTTAGTGGAAAATATACCAAGTATCTGGAGTCTTCAGGGGGGAAAGGAAATTATGAAGAGAAAAAAGGCCATGCTGCAAGAACTGCTGTAAGCATCAGCTGACAAAGCACTTACGTGTCACTCCTGGGACCTGGGCTTAAATCCACCTTAATATCCTCAACAAACAAAGTTTGCTGGCCTCTCTTTAGCATTAAAAAGTGCAGTTTCCATATCAAACAAACAATACATAGCAAAGCACAATTGGTAGTCCCTATTCAGGAAAGGATCAAGGCTTAGCCATTCCAGAGGCTGAACTGCACACCCTGAAAAAAGGGTCCCTTTAGATACTGGTAAGGCAAAACTGAGAAGCTTAAATTAGAGCTGCCCATTACTGTATCTTGGCTGTATCACAGGAGGACTTCAGTTTCCATCTCTGTCAGTCCTTTAAGTCTTGGTGTAATTTTTTTCTTTTTTATAGAAAGTAGGCCAAGTAGTAAAAAAGTGTTTACAAATAACATTAAAAATACTTACAATCTAGAATTGCAACCAATTTATAATGATGTAAAATATAAGAACCTACATGAAGACAGACAATATCACTTATATTCTATACAGTTAACAGAAAAAAAAATAACTTTAAAATGTAACTGGGTAAAGCTAGAATTCTGGAGTGAAAACAATGATTTGCCAGATTCACAGTTAGTTTTTGTAAATGTAACTAACAGAACTAACAACAAACAGCTTCATTAAGCATAAGCTCTGCAAAATGTGAAAGACAAAGAGTGAGAAAAGTGTGAGCAAACAAGAAATGGTAAAACAAGGAAGGAAAAAGAAAGTTGTAGGTTTGAGGTATTCAAAACAAATGCAGAAAATCCCCAAGCATACAGTATTTAATTTTGGAGCAAGAAAAAAGTCCATTTTAACATACATCTTCTCCATATTCCTTATTTTCAAACATATGAACACAGTCATTCACAATGGTTTGTAGTATTTCTTGATTATGATCGATGCACTTCCGAATCTTGTCAAGGTGAGGGAGAAATTGAGGAAGAAGACTCTGCTGGTTAGCTGGGAGAGACTTAAACTGTCTCTCTGTTCTGTTCACTCGTTCATGCATATTCGTTCTAAAAAGCAAAAGTTTTAAATATTTAGAAGCAATATACAGACATGTAAATAGTTCATTCTAAGCTACTCCAATTACAATTATTCATTTTTTTATACACAGAAAGTGAAAGTTTTCTGAAATTTTTTTAGGCAAAAATTCTTTTAAGCTCTAGTTCTACCTCACCACTCTATTTAACACATTCCAGTTTCAGAGGACTATCCTTTCCTCCTTACTCTTTCATCCTCAGCCACTCATTTCCAGAGCAGGTGCTCACTACCTTAACACACAGATCTATAAAATTTAACAATCAACCATCTTCCAAGTTTGTTTCACAACTTTTCACAACAATTTAAATTGAATTAATTTGATTGCAGTGGTAAGCTTCCATCACAGAAATAACAAGATGTGGTGTGGGAATTGGGATCCTCAAAATCCATTGCTTTCAGGAGAACTGTCAAAGTCTCAACTGGACCATACCAGAGTTCTGGCAGCCTCACTAAGATACTAAGCTACCTTCTTTTAACAGCATATTCCTCATAAGTACTGTGAACATGATCATGTGACTGATGCAAGCTAAAAATAATTTTCCACTTCCCCAGGATAGAAATTTTATAAAAATGGTGACTCCTCTGAGATTTTGCTAGATTTGATTTCTGTCTAAACTGACAGAAGTATAGTAACAAAGCACAGTCATGATGACTCTAGAGAGATAGTTCAACAAGAGATACTAACCCTTTTGACCACCAAGTGATTTTAGCCGTTCAAGTTACACTGAAGTTTCCCAAATCCTGTGTCAGCATACAGCAGCACAAAGCTGAAAAAACTAGCCATTATGAGAGACAGCTGCAATTGCTGGCGTTTTAGTTACAACTTCATTCTGGAAATTTGACCAGGTAACATCTCATTCACATGTTACTGAGAAGGGCTTGTTCACTGCAATAGCTACACTGGTTTAAAATTTCATTCAAGGACAAGAAACAGAAAAAAAAAAAAAAAAAACAAGAGAAAAAAATAAACTGATGCTCTACATAAAGCACATCAGCTTAGCTCAAAAACATCTTCCTGAAATTTTATCAGAAAAAAAAAAAACAAACCTCTGAACCTTATTCTCCATCCTTTTATGCTAAATTACAACCATCCAGCAGAATGAGTAACTGAAATCAGAAAAAAATGCAAGTAATGAAATTATGTAATTTTATGTCTAGAAAACAAGAATAAGATCTGGACTTAATTTGAGGGTATATTACTGTCTTATTCAAACAGATGTTTGTTTCCAAGTTAACTGGAAATATCCATATGAGGAAACAAAAATTCCATTTATTAAATACCAAGATAGGTAATTTCGCCTAAATTTAGAATTATTTCTTTGAGACAGAGGTAATTTCATTGAATTTCTACACTGGAAACCTGAATCACATCCTTTTCTTATGTTTTTACTGAAACAAGTATTCAAAAGCAACCCAAAGCCACAGTTCAGCAGAAGGCTGAGAAAGATATTCCCAGCTTCTAAGGCCTGAGGGTGCAATTATACCATTAATATAAATAAATTACAGGTCGGAATTGCATTAGTAGCAATCGGTATTAGATACTTTTGACTAACTAGGTCTTCGATCCGTCCATACTGAATTAAGAGAGTTCACTTGGAAGAGACATCAAAAGGCCATTCAGACCAACCTCCTGCTCAAACACTTGTCCTGGAAGACAAATGAAACTTACATGGACAAACCTCCAACAGAAGAAATTATGTAAGAATCACCTTCTCCTACCAAGAACCTCACTACCATGTACCTATTATGCCTGTGCTACATTGACAAAAAAAGGGTCCAGCACACAGTAATGAGCCGCATGATGGGGTTTCCTTAGCTGAAGTACAAACCTGCTTCCCAAATCTATAAACAGGAAACAGTTTACCAAAACACTTTTCCTGACTGGACTTTTCCAGGCAGGCTCCACTACCTTGCAATGCGAGTTAACTTGCTTCCTCGTCTACCAAACGGATTCAGTCCTAAAACTAGGTGTCCCCACCACCGCCGGTTCGTTTCTACAAAGCCAGCAAATTCTGACTCAACAGATATTATTAAAAACGGCATCCATAATCCCTAGCAATGGGTCTTATCTCCTCTGCAAAGTAAAATGTCTTTCAAGAATTTCCACCCATAATCGAAACACCATTCTGCATTTCTTTGCCAGCAGGAGATAATACGGTTTTGTAGGCTGAACAGCATCTCCGAGCATTTTATCTCCTAAGAGACCTCAAGACACTCTTTTCAGGTTTGATACTTTCTTTTATGCTTTCTAATAGACAGATACAAGGCGACTTTGCGCGTATCCCGAAAGGAAAGTGGTGCAGAATCCCTGTGCCGACTCGGGGCTCCGCAGCGCGCCGCCAGCAGAGCGGAGGCGGCCGCACCAGGCGCGCCAAGAGCGAGCGCCGCGCTCCGGGGGCCGCGGGGAGCCGCGAACCCTGCGGCGAGCGGAGGGACCCCCGCAGGGCCGCACGCTCAGGGGCAGGCCTCAATTACCCGTAATATCGGAAAGCGTTGATGATCCTCCGAAAATGCTCCCGCTCCAGACGTTCCTCCTCCTCCACCGCCCTGGCCGACGACGTCGTCAGCGCCTTCGGCTCTAAAAGCTGCCGCCTCCGCCGCTCGTCGCTCAGCGGGGCCGCCCGCTCCGCCTCGGCCTCCGCGCCCATGCCGCTCGCGCTCTCTCCCGGCCACGGCAGCTGCTCCCGCTCCTCCTCTCTGCCTCGCCGCAGCCCCCTGCGCATCACCTTTGCGGGCGGCTCCCTCTCGCCCTGGGGACGCGGCCTTGGCAGCGCCGCTTTCCGGGACACGGCGCACGTGGCCGACATGCCCCGCGCCCTCCAGCGCCCGCGGGCACGGCCGGCGCGCGCGCGCACCGCAGCCCTTCCGGCGCGCGCCGTCAACGCCAGGAAAGTATCGCGAGAGCGGGGCGGGCACGCGCATGCGCATTCAGCAGGCGGAGACCCGCGATCCCGCGCCGGTGCCGCAGGGATCGGGAGCCGCCCCCTGGCAGAGCGGTGCGCGCTCCCGAGCCGGCTGCCATCGCAGGAGACACGGTGCCCGGCCCCGCTGTGTGAACGGCACGGCGGGGTCGCCCGACGGCGGCAGTGGCGCGGACGCACCTCGGGCGTGCCGGGGAGGACGCGCAGCTGCCGGGCTCCTCGGGGGTGCGCAGGCACAGGAGGCACGGGCGCAGCGCTGAAAGCACAGCCCGCCGCCGGCCGCCGCTCCGCGCTGGGCTCAGGTGTACGTGCGGCCCCGCTGACAGGCAGCCGGGGCAGCGAGGTCACTCTGCTGACAAGAGGCACTACTTCCCGCTCTGCACCAGGCTGAAGACGGATCATGTTTCCTGATGACGGAGGATGGGCAAGGACTAACTATGCGGAGGGAAAAGCAAAGTGTCTAACCTTACGAAGTGAGTCACTAAATACTACATTTCCTCCCACAAGAGACTTTGCCCTGGATGATGGGCACATCCTCCTCCATCTGACAAAACTTGTCTGACCAGGTGCAGACACCATGTCATGCAGCAAGTCCCACCATACACCTTTGCACCGTGCTTTGAGAAGAGGTGACTGATAGAAGACTGCCTCATTTGTAAGGGCCCATCCCCTCAGCCTTTAAACCTAAAGAGCACTACCATGCCTTCTGTCTGTCTAAAGATGGGGCAGCCATTTAATAATCCAAGTAAAATAGCAGGAATAGGAAAGGGTTTTGGCACACTAACTTCCTCTCTGTAGTAGTAGGAGCATCAGCTTCCTAAAATAAACTTTCACTTTACTCTCACACTGCTCCTGCTCTCTTGTAACTACAGTAACTGACCAGGCTGTGAATGGACGCTGGACACTGTGTTCAGTGGCAAGGCCAGAGAGAAACCAAAGACATACCCAGTTTGATGGACAGAAGAGTCGTTGATCCCAAGTGGGTATGTACATTAGGAAGCACCTTGTATGTGACAAAGCCAACATCTGAATCAATGATACATAGTCCAAAACAGAAATTCAGCTTTTAGACTTCGAAGGTTAGAGTAGGAGTCATAAACTCTGAGAAATAAATAATTTGTTCCTACATCAGTGTTTATGACTAGTCATATTCTAACATCAGAAAATCACCTTCTAAATATCATACTAATTATATAACTGTATTTCTGTCCTTATATAAAATCCATTAGCCTTTTATTGAACACCACCACCTCTGTTGCCGCACATTTCTGAATACACACCAGACACTGAGCAAAGCTTTCTCTTACTTGTGGCAGCCTGAGATTGCTGCCAGCAGATGACACCACTTCCAGAAAGTTATCTATTCTTCACTAAAGAACCACAGGCTTCTGTCATGCATTTCTCCCCAACGATTTCACAGCTACCACAGCCCTGGCAATGCAAAGGCATTCACAAAGAGCAAGCTAGAAAAAAAAAAAATTCTGTCAAGGGCTGTACCACCTTCAAACCAAAAGCATTCTGCCAACATGCCAAGTAACAGGCCAGCTCTGTAAGCTTTTATAATATTTTATAATAGCACCTGAAATACTTTATCTACCAAACAGACTCAGAAGAGTTCATTATCTCTTATGGCTGAGTTGCTGCAGCAACTGGCAAGAACCACAATTTAGGCACACCAGGTGAGCCTGGACAGTTTCTATATCCATGCTATAGCACTGCTTGGCTTCTTTTACTACTTCTTATGGGTGAAGTGTCAATGAATTTTCTGGATTTCTTTTGAACTGGCTGGCACTGTCCGCCACCTTTGGCATTACATCTCAGAAGGTCAGTGTCTGCTGCATAAAGTATCACCTCTACCTGCGTGAAATATTACCTTAATATAAATTGGTCAATCTGTTTCAAATGAGAAAGTGCCCTCCAGACTAGTATTTGTAAAATTTGGTGAATACTAGTTCTGTAGCCACTTGACTCACAGCTTTCAGCATGTTGTAAACCATGGCCCATTTTCCTTTGGTCTCCTCGACAGTGAGTGGTCCCACCATTTGCAGTCTCTCCTTGCAAAGCAGCTTCTCCATTCCCTTAAAATTTAGTTGCCCTTCTTTTAAGTCCACTATGGACTCCCTCCAAATGTAGAAACCAGAACTGCCCAGCTCTTAAAACATGGGTCCACTGGTCTTACACAGGAGCCAAGTAAGACCACGTTTTGTTTGCAAAAATAAAATAAAAAATTAAGAAAAAAACAATTTGATGAAGCTCCAAACTGTGGCATGATTATAGAAGAGCTGTTAAAGATCTATGCCCTGAGCTCTTATTACAAGTTGCTGAAGCACAAGTTCAGTAACATGTATATTCCAATGATTTACACCACACATGTATAGACCTGTATTGGAGCTCATCTATAATTTTTCCCTATAGGAGGATCTGACAAAACTGATCTTGCCTCAGCACCAATATTGGACTACTTGAGAATAAAGTCAGGTGATACCATTGTTCATTCCATTCCCTCTTCTGAATCACCACACAGAGCAGTTGGAAGTGGAAGACTGTCCCTGTGGGAGGGACCCCACTCTCAAGCAGCAGAAGTCTGTGAAGAGGAAGGAGCAACACAATCCCCATCTGCCTGTGCTGCTGGGAGACAGGGGGTAGGGAGTTCCTGCAGGAAGCCAAGCCCAGGCTGAAGGGAGGGGTAGGGGGAAGGTGTTTTATGATTTGTTCTTAATTGTCATTATTTCTGATTTTATTGTCAGTAAATTCAAATAATTTCCCAAAACCACGTCTGTTTGGACTGCATGTGAGTAACTGCTGAAGGGTCTTCCTGTCCTTATCTCCATGCATGAGTCAAGATGCAAATCCATTGCATTTTTTTCCCCTTCTGTTGAGGAGGGGCAAATAATAGAGCAGTTTTGGTGGCTAGACAAGATCAGCCCACCACAACCATTCCACGCATTAGCTAATCTCTTGCAATTGTACCCTTTCCAAAGGGAAATAAAAACAAAAATTCAGTTTAAAAGCAGACAGTCCACCACAGCACATGAGCAAATGCAAGATGAAGAATTTTTAGTGCAAAATAATAACACAAAATTATATTTTGAAGCACTTTGTTTTAAACACAGCTAAACACAGCTGTAATCTGATGACATCTTTTTCTTATACATAGATTTAGGACTTTTACTATAAAGTACTACATTTCAATCACTGACCGGTTCAGCTGTCACATATCAAGTAATAAAATCCATCCTTGCCTTTCCATGTCTATAGTTTTATTTTTATTTTGGCTCATAAAAATGTAACCTATTGTCTAGAAAATGTAAGAGTTAAGACATTACTTATTCAGCAACAAAATATGATCCAATTTCCTAGTTTGTATAAATATACATACACAAATTCTGTAACACATTTGTCTGGCATTCCTGCTTTCTGAACATTCCATTCACAACATTTCAGTTTCATTTCACTTTCAATGTGAGTTACAAATATTAATAACAATTATTTCTTCCTTCCTGTCTGAAGCATGGATTTATTATCTAGTGGTCTGTGCCATCCTAGTCAATCTCTGCACAATATATGTACCATATCTTGTTAATGATGCATCTCCATTCTCTACATCTTATTTCCCCACCTTTCTCCAACAATCTGTGTCCTCTTCAGGTTTGTTTTCATTTTCTTAACACCTATTCACAACTACTCTAAAGAATACACAACACAAAAATTACAGTGCAAACACTAGAGAGGTGTTGCTTAGCTGTGATGTATTCAGTTACTGAATAAGCAGCATAACAACTTACATAAAGTTACATAACTTACACAGCTCGTTTCTCTTGAGCATGTTTATCAGTGATAACAAGCTCCTAAGAACATTAGAGGCAATATCACTGTCATTCCTGTATGATCATTTCAAATTGCAATCATCCATGTTCAAATGTGCTTATTAAACCAACAGAAGTGCATCTTTATGGTTTAGTTTTATGCACAAAATCTTCATGTTCTTTAAAATATACACATTGAATCAGATTTAAAGCTCAGCCAAGGCAGGATTGATTAAAGGAAATTTAAAGAACGCACTGTTTATACTCCTAAATGGAGTCTGTCTCCATACCCGAGAGAGTTAATAATTACTTACAAAATCTCTTGTGTTATATGAAGTAGCATTACAGTAATAGACACAGCATTTGCTCAGTTGGTTGGCTTGCCATGTATGACAGTCTTGGTGTTTTCAACTCATATCAAATAGAATCCAGGCTTTCTACATTGTCATGATGTGACCTGCTGATCTAAAATAAATACAAAGTACATATCTAATCTGCAGTGTTTGCAAGCGACATCACAGTATATTAGTGATAATATAATTCCACTAACACATTTGTTTTCATTGATGTTTTATCCCATATTCTCTCTCTTCCATGTTTTTTATTATTATTTTATCATTAAGTAATAATGGATTCTACTATGATCTTAGAACATCCCATTTCAAGGAACTCACAGTTTTAACTGACACTGACTCAGAGTAATGACCAAACATGGTATTGTAGCACATAAAGAAATACAGGTCTCTATAATTCTTGTAGTACTTTCAAATAAAAGTATTAGCTTTTTGATAACATAGAATAGAACACATGGATTCAATTTCCAGTAACATTACTTACTTTCTTCCCTCAGCTTGTTCAATTCCTGTATTATATCACTATACACATAGGATAAAAGCTCCTCTTGGGATTTTGTTCCATCCAAATAATCTGAGGAAGAAAAAAGAAGAAGTGTTCATGAGTTCAATGCCAGCTACCTGTAATGGCAATTGGCTAAGTTTTCAGTATTCCTACAGATGCCATCAGAAAAGTAGAAAAAAACAAAAACCAAGAACAGGACCTCCCATTTTCCTCTTCCCCAAACTTGAAAAAAAAAAAGAAAAAAACCCCAAACATAATGGAAAATAATTCTAGTTAATAATTAATTTACAATTTTTTGTGATATAGAAGTCTCCATAAGCGTAATGGTAATTATGTGAGGACAGTGAAGCAATGGAATAATTTGGCAAAAAGTTCTCTGTACAGTAGATAATTTCAGGTTCCTCAGTTTCAGCCTTTGAGCAAGTTCCGGAAGAGCACTGCAGTTCTTATTCTTACTGCACAGCAAGAAGCAGTGTGCTAATGATGAAGAGGCCACCTAATTTCCCTTTCTTCCCTCTGGCCCCACTTCAGAAACAACTAGTCCAAGAGCTGTGTAAGTGTGAACATCACACAAACTTGTGGCGCTGCCCCAGCAGCTGGCCCAGCTTTGACACTTCTCATGCAAAACTGGTGACTGTAGTGTGGACAGTCAGCACCTAGAAATTATCTTCAGCTTATTATAAGACTTCACCAGGATTTCAGTTTTGTTCTGAAGAACTCTGCCAGTGCATCAGCTATCATCTCAGAAGTTTCCTAATTAGACATAAGTGTGTTATCTTAACAAGTTATCTTGTTAAGTGGACTTAATTAGTGATCAGAACATTTCTATTGTTTAACTTCCTTTTCATTATTAAAAAATAAAATAACAAAAATTAAATCCCTGTAGGCTTGAAATATAAACTAACAGAAACATCAAAACCTACTAAGTGCCACAAAAACATTTGAAGAAAATTTTGTCCCATTAAAAAAGAAATCCCACAATTCAACAAAAACTGCACAAGTTCCACACTTAAGCATTTTATAAGTTTAAAATTAATGACACCATACCAACTTGCATACTTGCATTCTGTTCCAATTCACTTTTATATTTCAAATACATAGGCCACACGTGTCCATCGAAGTACCCTGGTGTATCTGCTGGCTGATAGACTCTGG